ATATATAATCTGCAGCCCAAAGTAATAAAACTGTTGTTCTTCTGAGGCCCTGAAGGTGGCGCTGTGGCCCACAGGGTAAGAATCTCTGATCTGTAACTCTGCTCTGTTTAGAAGAAGAATAGAAAAAACTCTGAAGTGAGAGGGTTCTGGTTCTGGTTCTGGTTAACTCAGATGTTCTCCTGCAGGTTCTGGAGGACGACATGCGAGAACAGGGCCGAGGGATCCACGTCATCGTTCTGAACCAGGCCACGGTCAGAACCTTTAGATCTACTTGGACCTGAGACCAGTTGGACATGAGTCTAGACAAAGATATAAACACATGTCCTCTCTGTCCTCTCTGTCTCCTCATGTCCCCTCTGTCTCCTCTGTCTCCTCATCTCCCCTCATGTCCTCTGTCCCCTCATGTCCTCTCGTGTCCCCTCATGTCCCCTCATGTCCTCTCGTGTCCCCTCATGTCCTCTCGTGTCCTCTCGTGTCCCCTCATGTCCTCTCGTGTCCCCTCATGTCCTCTCGTGTCCCCTCATGTCCCCTCATGTCCCCTCATGTCCTCTGTCCCCTCATGTCTTCTCGTGTCCCCTCATGTCCCCTCATGTCCTCTCGTGTCCCCTCATGTCCCCTCATGTCCTCTCGTGTCCCCTCATGTCCCCTCATGTCCTCTCGTGTCCCCTCATGTCCTCTCATGTCCTCTGTCCTCTCATGTCCTCTCGTGTCCCCTCATGTCCTCTCGTGTCCCCTCATGTCCTCTCGTGTCCCCTCATGTCCTCTCTGTCCTCTCTGTCCTCTCTGTCTCAGGGACATGTCATGGCTAAGAGGATCTTTGACACATACTCGCCCCACGAGGACGAAGCCATGATCCTCTTCGTCAACATGGTGACTCGGGGACGTGTCCTCATCTTCACCATAAAGGTGAGTCTTTGTCTCTGCGGTTCGGTCTGAGAGTCTGGACCTGTGGTCCCTCTGACGGGGGACTGGTGTCCCGCAGGACGAGGGGACATTCCACCTGAAGGACGCGGCCAAGAACCTGCTGAAGAGCCTGGGCAGCCAGGTGTCCCTGGGTCTGAGCTGGAGGGACATGTGGACCCTGGTGGTGAAGAAAGGAGGACAGGTGTACGGGGAGAGACACTCCAAGTCCCCGGCTCTGTCCACCTGGGGCGACCCGGTTCTGCTGAAGACTGAGGTCCAACTCACTGCTGCTGAAGGTACGACTGTAGAACCCTAACCCTGTC